GGTATCACATTGTAAACTTGGAATTCCTGCCCCATCCCCAGGGGTTAAAGCGGGGCCCCAAAGGGAACATTTACAAATATTTTAAAATTCTTATCCTTTGATGACATGACAAGTATTGTATTTCACTTAGTTTACATGCTGATTTCCACATCACATCTAAACAATAAAATAAAGCTACCAGTACCTATGATATAACTCAGGTGACCGCTAAGGCCCTTGGGCCTCTTGTTTGACAAAGGTAACATTCGTTTTCAAAAGCTCTCAAACTAAGTTTTCAATTCCTGATTATGTTTAAAACAAATTTAGTCTTTACCCCTATTGAGCCCCACCCCTCTGCCCCCAGGGAAGTCACACTTGCTGCTTATACAAAATTTGGTCCACCTCGCCCAAGGATGCTCTGACGAATATCGGTTAAAATCCCTCCAATCAAACTAAAGGAGAACGATTTTGAAAATTAAGCCCAAGTTCCCCTATTGGGCCCAGTCCCTCTGCCAAAATAAAGTCAAATTCCACTTAGCTGTTCAGGACTAGTAGTGTTTTAAAGGATAAGTTAAGGGACAGATAGATGGCATATGCTGTGCAACACATTAATCTCACATACCTCCCTTCAGTTTAAACATAGTTCAACCTAAAACAATTGAAATTGCCCTTTTGTGGCAATAACTGATTCATCTTTCACCATTAGACAAAGTGTAAGCATTGACCAAGTTTCAGCAGAATCCGGTCATATTTGACAGTTATTGTGCAGCAACCGCCAACAAATCAGAGCAGTTTGCTAATTAATTGTGTGCAGATTTTGCTCAACTTTGATCTTAGACTCAGTCTTTGTGTAATTTACAGGCATACCATGATTCACCAAAATTGAACAATATTTAAGCAAATTGTCTTGCCGAAACCAAACATAAAAGAGAAGAAATATTGTCCAACAACATATCATAACCTCAGACACAGATGATGCTGGTTCTGATTGACCAGATTCGCCCTTTAAGTCCACATCCGCTGGCTTCCAACTTATCAGACCCCACATTACTGGCGAAGGTTACGAACATCCAAAATCTTAAAAGATAGAGTAGTCAGTGAGGGTAAGTACCGTAACATCCAAACACTCTGAAGAAATACAATGTGCACCCAGAACTCACCTGAAGATGACATCCTTTGCTAACATGAGCACTGTGGAAGTATTTCCAGGACAAGGTATACGTTAGGGCTGCAACGATATATCCTACGACGATATATCGCGATATTTTTAAAAGGTACGATATACAATGTTTTTTTGGGAGGTCATGATACACCTACGATATTTTCCAGATTTTTCTTTCCTGAATTTTGTCAACTCATATCTAATCCCACATGGCAGGTGACAGCTCCAGCTTGACATGCATGTCAAAACACCTGAATTGTAGGAAACTTTTTAAGTCATGCCCATTTTGGACTAAGTCTATTTCCAATAGTTGTAATATTAATATTGCCATTAAAATTTGCAATATATCTCTTTGCTTTGTTTCTACCGTTACATTATGTATCGTGACTACCGTATCGTTATATGTATCGTATTGTGACTACAGTATCGTTATATGTATCGTATTGTGACTACAGTATCGTTATATGTATCGTATTGTGACTACAGTATCGTTATATGTATCGTATTGTGACTACAGTATCGCTAGATGTATCGTATCGTCATGTTAATGTATCATTGCAGCCCTAGTATACGTATGACATGTGGTTGTGAGGACGGTTCAGACACTCTTTCTCACCCGTTGACAAGTAGGGTGTAGGTCTTAGAAAAAGTCCTAATTTATCCCTGAAAATGGATTAGAGCGATTTACTAACAACCATGCAACCACCTTAATATGGACCAGTTTAATCAAATAAAATGCTGTGTACATTAAAACAGAAAAATATTTGGAAAATAAGAAACTTCCTACAAAAACTTGACATGTCAAGTAAATGTATGTTAACAGAACGCCAGTATATTAAATATGGTTAAAACTGGGAGTTATTCTGAATATTGCTAGTTGACACCTAGACATGTTTTATCTCTTCTTGTTTTAATATTTACATTTGCTATGCATCCTTCCATTGCAATGCATTGAGAAGGCAAATGTTATAACTATAACAACATTTGCTATTGTAATGTCATCGATTTCATTGTTGTCAACACTTAATTCGCTGCTTAAAAACTGTTCGAAATAACTAAAAAAAGCGTAACTACTCCATCAAAATGTAAATATAAATAATGAATATTTGAGCAAATATTGTTATGGTCCTATAACACACATTTCTATTGCTGACAAACTTACATAAATCCCAAGTTTGTCATCAATAGCAATGTGTGTTATAGGACCATCACAACATTTGCTAAAACATTCATTGCTTAAGAGAATGCATAATGAAGTAATTGTACATCCTATTTAGTATTATGGAGGAAGTACATTCATATGGGAAAAAAATAAAAAGATTTGAAAATGGGGTTTTAAACATAATGGTGGTTACAAATACACAATGCCTCCATCTCACATAGGTTTGCGAACAAGTCAATGTATTCTTTGCACTTCACCTTGCAGAATGGTTTGATCTACTACATGTGTAATGTTCAGTCAATAAGTATTGTGGTTCTTTCCTGTTTATCTGAACCAATCGTTCCTATATTGTGGCGGTTATCCCTGATATCTCCAAGAACAGAGTGGTCCGAAGCTTTCCTTAGTCGTGCACGCAGTCGATCGGCCAACGCGACTGGACTATGATCAATGTCAACACTTACGCTAATCACCTTGTTAACTACTGGTCTGGCGTGTTCCTTATGTAGATCAGGAGAAGTCCTATCAGACACATTTTTAACAACTGGAGTATATGATGATGTGGAAATGACTGAATCCTTTCCAATCAACAGTTCATCTGTTACCTGTTTTATGGATGGTAAAGGTACAGACACACTGGCCACGTGACTGGTGAGCTTTCCCTCCAGTCTCCTGTCCAGTGTATCTGTGTGTCTATTCCCTGCCCTAACAGTACACTGGGCAGTAGATGCTGGTTCGCTGCTGTATTTTGACACCAAATGTCCTGATGTACACTGAGGATAGTTTGTGTGGGACTCTGATCTGACATCAGGTTTGTTTCTGTGTTTTCCACCAATGTCTAACAGACTAGCAGTTCTGTGGGTTGTGAGTGATGCTAAACCCTGCAGCTTCACTCTGTCACCCTTCACATTTTCTGTTGATGGCAAATGGTCACCTTTACTATCAACTAACTTGAATGCCACACTATCATCCATGCTAGTGTAGCCAGAGCTATGGTGTCCAGGATTACTTTGGGAATCTGGTGATTTTGCCGTGTACTGTGGAGAGCAAGACATACTTCCCTTGTTGTTACCATCAAGACGTGTATTGTACGAGGCATCCTCATGTCCATCAGCACCGCTGTGTACACAGCCAGCTAAACATTCTTCCTGATCTCTATATCCAGGGTAATGATGGCCTTGCACTTCTTTACATTCTGTGTCTGTTGATAACAAGTGCGAGTGATCTGAAACACATGTTTTCTTCAAAAAAGCATCTGGTGGCTGTCCTTTAGTTTCAAACTTCTGCAAAACAATATCCTGGTTTTGTGTTTCATTTTTTCCTAAACTGGATGAGTAATTATGTGAGAGGTCACCCAAGCTTGAGATGTCCTGTGATTGATCCGCACTCACTTGGTGACTTCTGTCCATATTTCTCAGAATGGATGACTCAATCTGAAAATTGCCAAATTCTGTGACACTTTGATTGCCTGTCAAGTTTAACGACTCATTGTAGTGAAGTACACTGTGAGGACTTTCTGTTAAACTTTTCTCGTCTATAACAGGCCGATGGCAATTTGCTTGCATCTCTGTTGTGCATGGTGTTTCCTGTACTGGTCCACAGTTGTTTAGACGATGTTGGTTGCTGTTACTGATGGGCGTCGACATGCTGTGATCACTTCTACAAGACATTTGATGGTTACAGGTTCTACAAGGAGTGGGTGTTGAAATTGTAAAATTGATTTTCTCTACACAGCTAAAATCAGTTAAATTAAAGAGGTCTTGACTACAATTCGGACTACTGTTTAGATTGCGTGATACAGAGGGGGACAACTTTGAGATATCAGGGAGGTTGATCTGGACTGTGCCTTGCTGTCCATGTGTCACTCTAGAGCCTGAAGGTGGTGCCATGACTTCTGTGTCCATCACATCAACTAACTTCCTAGGTGTAAGCTGTTCTATCCCAGATACAGAATATGAATCCATACTACTGTTGTTCGACGACATCAGTAACATGGCGACCAGACACTAAGTTTCTATTGTGTATCTGGATATCCTCCTCTCTGGTTGAAACTGTTCCAAGCCTGAATAGTTTGGTATTCTCCTCCTTTGTCAATATTTCACAATGTTGTAGATCCTGGTTTTCCACACATGATTTCTGTTCCTTCAAACAGATGCGGCCTCTCCTTGATTTCACACTATTAACACTCTTCACGCTCAACCTTGAATACAAGCGATCTTTGAATGTCTGTCTTACTCCCTCCACATTCAATAACGTTTTATCTGGATATGACTTTTGTGCTGTGCCTAGTGTACAACTTTTATCGGACATCATCTTGTCTTTGTCTTGTTCTTTACTGACTCCACGGCTTGTTGATGTAACAGGATTAGGTAAATGAGCCTCCACTTTGTCACACATTCCTTCTGTGTCTTGGTCTGGCTGAGTTGATGTGATTGCTAGTTTGGTTGGTAGTTGTTGTGATCCTTTGACAGAGCCAAGCATTGTACAAAGCCCTGACACATCCAAGTTTTCTGATCGGATGCTGAAATTCTTGGCTTTTGTTGAAGCTTTATGTTTCTTTTTGAGTGCCACCTTTAGATTAATCTGCACTCGTTGAGACAGTGGTATGTAAGCCTGCTCCTCCTCATCATCACTACATTCCTCCTCAGTTACACCGGTGTCTTGCTTACTTATCATGACTGCTGTAGACACTTCTGAACGCCTGTTTATGTCTGGGACGCGATTTTGTTTTTCTGTTCCCTGCACCTTTTTCTCACACATGTCCACAGTTATTGCCTTTCTATTATGCTCCTCTGTGTTCCTTCTCGTGTGCAGTGATAAATCTGATGTAAAGTCAGGGAGTTTGATCTTCGAATTATTGTATCTATCAACTGTGACCTCTGGCGTGACCTTCAGTTTCCCCTCTTGTTGGCTAGCTGTTCCCTTTACCATACTGGCCGTGTGGCTTTCTTGTTCATTCAGTTTTACATCATCATGTGTGCTGTATCTTATCTCTTTCTCAGTGTCTCTAAGTTGTTGAGTCAATAGTTTAACATTTTCCTGTTGGATTCTTTCTTTCTCAACTTTCCTTCCTAGGGAACTAGATCCGCCCCTCGATGGCTGACTCCCTCGTGTATCAGTGGTGAGACTGAGATTACCCACAGCTTCACACAAATCCTCATCAAGGTTCTGTGAACTTTTTACTACAGCACTGTCATGTTCAACATCCTTCTTCTTCCTTGATTTACCTGAAATCATAAAAAACAAGCGTTAAAATTAGTGAACAGTGTTTATGTCTACTAATTTGCTTTTTATTGGGAGTGTTTGTTTTAATAGAAACAAAGTTTCAAGTAATGTGTTCCCTTTTGATACCCTTAATCAGTAATACACTGTCATAAAACATTAACCTCTAAAAGGTGTGACATTGCAATAACAGAGCTTTATCATTATTAACCTGGACTCCATGAACAAACTTTAGGTTTATAACCCCTAATTACTGGTAAAATTTGGATATGATAATTTTATTGCTGTAACATTATCGATGTAGTAGAAAAATAATCATGCCCCACTTTAGGAGTAAGACAGATCAATCTCAACCCAAGGGTTGAGATTCTTTTAAATGTTTAGCCCGGGGCTCTACCTAGGGGTGAAATTCTTAAACGTCTGACTCTCGACAGAGTCTTGGGCTAGACACTTAAAAGAATCTCCCCTCTTAGGTTGAGATGGATAAGAACATCTTGCTGCTGTAATACCTCGTTACAAGTAAACTTTGGATGAAAACATGGTATATGATTTTGGATTCTGGTTTCTGTACATGACAAAAAATATCTCTGTAAGAAAATATATATTTTATAGTAGATAAACAATATATATCACCTTCCCTCAAGTCACATTCATATTTCAGTTATTTAAATGGCTATATCTCCTAATCTGTGGAATAAGGGACATAACTCTATCTGTGAACTACCTACAAATATTTAAACCTTTATCATGATAATTTGCCCATTTGAATACTAAGTTTATAGTGTATACAAAAATAATCAGCAGAAATAACAATTAGATCTGTCAGGACGGTTGTAGATATGATAAGAGTAAACTAGACATATACCAAACTGACATTAGTGTGACCCCTAGCCGTCTTCTCTGTTAGACATTAGTGTGACCCCTAGCCGTCTTCTCTGTTAGACATTAGTGTGACCCCTAGCCGTCTTCTCTGTTAGACATTAGTGTGACCCCTAGCCGTCTTCTCTGTTAGACATTAGTGTGACCCCTAGCCGTCTTCTCTGTTAGACATTAGTGTGACCCCTAGCCGTCTTCTCTGTTAGACATTAGTGTGACCCCTAGCCGTCTTCTCTGTTAGACATTAGTGTGACCCCTAGCCGTCTTCTCTGTTAGACATTAGTGTGACCCCTAGCCGTCTTCTCTGTTAGACATTAGTGTGACCCCTAGCCGTCTTCTCTGTTAGACATTAGTGTGACCCCTAGCCGTCTTCTCTGTTAGACATTAGTGTGACCCCTAGCCGTCTTCTCTGTTAGACATTAGTGTGACCCCTAGCCGTCTTCTCTGTTAGACATTAGTGTGACCCCTAGCCGTCTTCTCTGTTAGACATTAGTGTGACCCCTAGCCGTCTTCTCTGTTAGACATTAGTGTGACCCCTAGCCGTCTTCTCTGTTAGACATTAGTGTGACCCCTAGCCGTCTTCTCTGTTAGACATTAGTGTGACCCCTAGCCGTCTTCTCTGTTAGACATTAGTGTGACCCCTAGCCGTCTTCTCTGTTAGACATTAGTGTGACCCCTAGCCGTCTTCTCTGTTAGACATTAGTGTGACCCCTAGCCGTCTTCTCTGTTAGACATTAGTGTGACCCCTAGCCGTCTTCTCTGTTAGACATTAGTGTGACCCCTAGCCGTCCTCTCTGTTAGGAGCGAAATACAGTATCATTATTACGTGTACTTCTACATTTTGAAAATAATTTTTCAATTACAAAAATATTTCGAAATAATTTCATTAAAGCAGAAATTGGAAACATCTATTTGTACTTCTATTCCTGTTTCTTAGTAAAGATTGATTATCACCATAAAATGAAAAGAAATAATCAAAGTAGTTACTTGGTATTGGATTTTTACCAATGAAATATCACAATTTTCATTGTATTGAAGATAAATGTATGAAATATTTTATCTATACATGTGATGATCTAAGGTCCAGCAACAATATTATACTGAATTCTGAAATGATTATTATATATATTTCTCACCTTTTGTTACTTTGGCAGCCACAAGTTTCTCAAACTCCTGGACTAACTCTGGGTAACACTTGGAGAACAAATCCTGTGTTTCTATGGTGGTGTAGACAGCCTGGGGAGACAGGGTGTCGCTCTCTGAAATTTGAATATTTCAACTCAGCAGTTTATACATAAAACAAGAGGCAAAGGGGCCTTGATAGCTCATCTGGAATTTTCTGTTTTAATTTTAAACCTGTTGACTAATGTATATACTTAAATCAAATAATGCCAAAAAAATAAGCTGTAGTAAGGACTTAATCCCTCGGGGCAGCTGTAGTAAGGACTTAATCCCTCGGGGCAGGAATGACAATAAGGACATGGATACATGATTATTCCTCCATACCCACTAATTAATATATGGCTATAGGGTGTGGATCTCAACTACTTCCAATACCAAACGGTGAGGTGGGACCCCCGGTCTAATCCTAGTAGCATAAAAGTAGTCATCTCTTCATGGCCACTAATTGTATATTTGGTTTTATGGTGCCAGGTGGTGATGAGAACTGGCTCTATGTTATGACCCAAAAAGTAAGCCCCCAGGGGTGGAGCTGGATCCTTGACCCAATCCTAATAGCATAAATGGATTTGTCTCTTCAAGTCTAGCAATTGTATATGGTTATAGGGAGGGGATGTAAAATGTTTACATGGTACGACTTAAGGAGTTTTCTTTTGTTGATCTTGTCAGGCTCAATCCCAGGAATATTAAGTTAATGTTAGGACTCTAGGCCTTTCAGTTCTTCAAATAAGATGTTTGAAATTTTTGAAATATTTTACATTTGTGACCTTGAAATAGGTCAAGGTCATTTTTGTTCAAAAGGTTTATTAGACTACATCAAAGGAAGCTGCCAGCTAAATATCATGATTCTAGGCTAATTAGTTCTTTAGAAGAAGTCATTTGAAGTTTTTGACATATTGGACCTCTGTGACCATACCAGATTTCATCAATGACATTCATTCTACTTCTGTCCTTCAATCTACAGAAAGTGGAGCTGATGATCTTGTCGAAGCATACATATCTGGTATAGAAGCCCTTATAGAGAAACATACACCTCTACACACTAAGGTGATAACTGTGAGACCGAATGCCATGCAGGTATGTCAGCTGCATTTGATGTCATCAACCATGGCATACTTTACAAACGTACGGAGTACTCTTATGGAGTGACTTGTGACGCACTATGCTGGTTACAGTCTTATTTGAGTGAACAACGACAGTGTGTTGCCATAGGATCTACCACCTCGCATGACAAAATACTAGATTTTGGGGATTCTAAACGTAGGCGTTAGGACCAGGAAAATATTGCCTTTATTCAACACTGATTGGAGAGATTTGTTGTCGCCATAGCCTTCGCTATCATTGTTATGCTGATGACACACAATTTACACAGTCACTAAACCACAGGACAGTTGGGATACCATATCAGAAAATCTGGAAGCTTGTCTGACAGACATCAGTACCTGGATGAACGCCAACATGCTAAAGATTAATCACTGCCGTCACAGACAATCATTGTTGTGTCTCCCAAAATCTTGCACTGTGACCTATGGAAACCGGTGCTTTGGGAGGGTTTCGGCCATAATGTGGACTAGCTTACCATCTACTATCAGGAAGTCAAAAACCCTGGTTATATTAAAGACCCTCCGCTTCACGTCTGCATATCTATAACTGTCACTGTAGAAATACTGTTATTCATGCGTTGTAAAGTTCCTTTGAGTAATTTTACAAATTAAAAATGGTGCTATATAAATGTTGTATATTATTATAATTATTTGTTGTTTTTCCAACACCACATACCTGGTTTGTTCCATTCCACTTCGTAACAATGGACACCTTGTCTAGTTCTGGATTTCACAACCCTAAAATATCAGACATAGAAGTTAAATAAAAAAACAACCTGGCTGTTTATTCGTTTGTTTGGTGAATTCCCCTATTTTGGTGAGGGCTATTCTGCTTACCTGTTTCTATTGTTACGTGAGGTAAAAAAGAAGTCTCCAGGGTAATAAAATTTACCATGAAGATAAAGCACTTTTACATCTATAAAGGCACGTGAGGCTTGGTAGTCCAGTGGTAGTACGCAGGCTCGTGACTGAAGTGTTGCGGGTTCAAGTCATGTCACAGCACTGTGTTGTATCTTTAAACAAGATGCTTTGCATCGCTTGTTCCAGTCTACTCAGCTGTAAACGTGTATGTGGTTGGGCAATGCTGGAATTATTGAATGCTAGCTGTGAGTGCCAAAATGGCAGCACTGGCTGAATGCTCCACAGGGAGTTGAAAAAGATATTGGCTGGTTGCAAAGGCCCTATAACCACAAATAATGATTTGTGAACCGCTTTGAGACGACCTATAAACTAGTTTGTGATAAAGCGGTACTCAAAGTATATAAGAACCTCGAATTATGAAGAGTATTTGATTCTTGTAAATATGAGTCTCATAACATCTACTGGATCAATCATCATATTTATTTCAATGAATTCCTGTAGAAAATGAACTTACAAATAAAATATCCCCAAAAGCATCAGTCCCCTATATAAACCAATATGAAAAAGCCTATTTTTATTAAAGTCGTTCTGGGCAGTATGGCATCACAGCATTTGTTTATGGAAAACACATCCGTATTTAAAGAATTATTTAACTTTTCCTTTTGGAAGATTTGATGGTGGAACAATGCTGACAAAGTCAATGGACCATGAAAGGTAGGCCACATCCAGCATTTGATGCATGGGTTGGGATGTACTACCTAAGATGCATCTATGGTCCAAGTTTGGTTGGTGTAGCACTTATACTTTCAGAGAAACTAACTTAAACAAAACAAGGTTACCGCGAGCGGTATATAATACGCCCGTCACACATTGAATGAGCAGTTGTTTGTATGATTGAAATATATGAAGTATTTGTGAGTAATTGATATTAAAAGAGAAATCATTCAACATAACTGGTAGATCAATGAGTGCAATACAACATCATGGAACGCATGCATCGCATTAATGAAACCAAGGG